GTTGCTGCTCATATATTACAGACCCACTTCGTTGCTGCCAGTGTTGTTGATGGTGGTGGAAGGGGGGTTTGGAATGGATTGCTAAAGAAACAGAGAGAGAGGAGGAGGGGGTTTAGATTGAAATATGAAAGCTGCAGAANCAGGTTAGAGAAAGTTGATTATCTAAACTCATTATTCCTTTAGGTTTCCTTTCTTTATAACTGATGAGCCAATGGTTACATTTCTAAAGGTAGTGTCAACAAAGACTTTTCCGTTAGTTGAGATTAAATTTTCCCCCATCNACTTATTGAACCAAAGATGAGTTATTCCCTTCAATGTGGTAAGGAAAGGTTTCTCACATAATGGCATCAAGGACATTGTGCAATATCATGAGAGATTTATATATTTTCAAATGATCCAAAGAATCCTTCTTGTCATAGAAAGCTTCGATGGTCAACATATTGAACTTGGCTGGGAGGGGGTAGTTGGTGACATCCTAAGAGAAAGGTGACTTGAGCCTCTGCACCAGCGTTTCCACTGTTTCTAAAGCTTGAGCTTTCACAGTGTTCAACACATCTCCAGTTTGATCGTTCATCTCCTTGAAATTTTGGTTCAAAAATGCGTCTTCTTCATGATGTTGTAGAGAATTGTTTTGACTACGTTTATCCACGAAGTTTAATTCATGGTTGGGGTGAATTTTTTCAGAGCAAAGATCCTGATTTTCTTGTTTATTTTGAGGACCAACAAGGCCTTGCAAAATTTTTTGAATTTGCTAGGTTTGTTGAGCCAAGTTGAAAATTCATTGAGCCTCTTGACGCCTTTTGAGGCGAGAAGGGTCTACATCTGAGATTTTAACCCCAACATTTTCTTGAGCAGCCCATTCTTTGATAGGGTTGTCTTGATTGACATTCATGGCTCTAGTTGACACCATCCACTAGTGTACAATAAAACTAATAAACAACTTTGGTTGTCAAGCCATTTTCCACAGATGGCATCAAACTGTAGGAATAAATTCGAAGACCAAATGGGTGCTCCTAGGGTTGACCCTCCGACGCTCAAGTTAGTATTTGAAAAATTAAGGTGCAACAGTTAAACTAGGCTTAGTGTGCTTTCCTAGGTCTTACCTCGGAGGTCCCCTTTTGTAGTATTTTGATAGGTGTTCTAGAGAANAAGATTTATAAATTTCACTTTCTTTTTATTTTTTCTTTTTAAAATTAAACCCACCTACGGGAAGGTTTATTAAAGAACCAAAATAATGAAGATACTAGGGGACATAAACCTTACCCATAGGCAATTTAAAATGGCTAAACATTTGGACTTTAACGGTCTATTCCTTTAGAGAATCCAAATAGGATTAGGAGAATAATCTCAAGCACTCTTCTTCGGTATCGTGTTTGTGGTCATGGTGAAAACAAAAGTACTTATCTCTATTTCATTTGTTATGAGGTGTTTTGAGCTTCCCATGACACCTTAGGAGGTTGTCATTTTGCACTAGAAAGAGAACTTGTTCAACTGAAGTGTTCAGGGGAGTGTGCGCCTTTATTGTGGGTAAACGGGGCCTAACCTATCCCTAGCTGGGACACGATCAACTTTCCCCTTCTTCGAAGTAATTGCTTTGTCTGACTTTGCTTGGTTTTTTCTCTTCTTCTCACAGGTAGAGGACCTAAGTCCACTTATGAAGGTTGTCAAAACCATACTGTTATCAACATCACCTATCTAGAGGGACTCTTCCATAAACCTTGCTGCATACTACCTGAGAGTTTCTTTTTTCGTTTGCTTGATATTGAGGAGAGAAGTGGCAGGTTTCTTGGGAGTGTTTCCTCCAATGAAATGGCAAAAGAAGGATTTGTTGAGCTCTAAGAAGGATCCATTAGACTTGATAGGGAACTTATTGAACCAAAGATGAGTTATTCCCTTCAATGTGGTAAGGAAAGGTTTCTCACATAATGGCATCAAGGACATTGTGCAATATCATGAGAGATTTATATATTTTCAAATGATCCAAAGAATCCTTCTTGTCATAGAAAGCTTCGATGGTCAACATATTGAACTTGGCTGGGAGGGGGTAGTTGGTGACATCCTAAGAGAAAGGTGACTTGAGCCTCTGCACCAGCGTTTCCACTGTTTCTAAAGCTTGAGCTTTCACAGTGTTCAACACATCTCCAGTTTGATCGTTCATCTCCTTGAAATTTTGGTTCAAAAATGCGTCTTCTTCATGATGTTGTAGAGAATTGTTTTGACTACGTTTATCCACGAAGTTTAATTCATGGTTGGGGTGAATTTTTTCAGAGAAAAGATCCTGATTTTCTTGTTTATTTTGAGGACCAACAAGGCCTTGCAAAATTTTTTGAATTTGCTAGGTTTGTTGAGCCAAGTTGAAAATTCATTGAGCCTCTTGACGCCTTTTGAGGCGAGAAGGGTCTACATCTGAGATTTTAACCCCAACATTTTCTTGAGCAGCCCATTCTTTGATAGGGTTGTCTTGATTGACATTCATGGCTCTAGTTGACACCATCCACTAGTGTACAATAAAACTAATAAACAACTTTGGTTGTCAAGCCATTTTCCACAGATGGCATCAAACTGTAGGAATAAATTCGAAGACCAAATGGGTGCTCCTAGGGTTGACCCTCCGACGCTCAAGTTAGTATTTGAAAAATTAAGGTGCAACAGTTAAACTAGGCTTAGTGTGCTTTCCTAGGTCTTACCTCGGAGGTCCCCTTTTGTAGTATTTTGATAGGTGTTCTAGAGAAAGAGGAATCTAGGTGCGCTCCTAGTAGTTTGAATTTGTTTGATCTCCTTTCAATTAAGGACTCTTGGTTTCTGTGGACTTTATCCTTTGTTGGGATAACCATCTAGAGTCCCAACTGTGCTAGAAGTTTATTTGATATCGCGGATAAGGATTTTCGAATGTAGGATCTTATACTTATCCATTGGCAACCTTATCTTCTTCATAGTATTTAAACAAATCTCGCCTGTTAAATGAGTCTTTGACAAATAAGGTTCCTATTTTAAAAATTGAAAATAAACTTTGTCATCCTTTCGGTTTCCTCATCCCACCAGGTTAGAGAAAGTTGATTATCTAAACTCATTATTCCTTCAGATTTCCTTTCTTTATAACTGATGAGCCAATGGTTACATTTCTAAAGGTAGTGTCAACAAAGACTTTTCCGTTAGTTGAGATTAAATTTTCCCCCATCAGTTTGAATTTCAAATATCCTATTTTGTGCGATCTCTTTCTGGCCGAATTTCATGGGAATGATGCTCGAGTCCTGGCTATTTCCAAAATCATAAGAATGCGCCAGTTAGTATTTAAGTATGGGTATATTTGACATTCACAAATAAAAAGGAGCAATCTACAGAAAGATTTTTATACAATTAAGTTATATATTGTGTACTGACCTACAAAAATCTCATATTCGGTGTAACTGTTACACCATGTCAGCAGTATCATGTGATATAACCGTTCGCTAATAAGTAAACAAGTCTACAAGTTGGCCCTATAAAAATTCACAACCACCTAGTTTTGTAATACATAACCATCTCTATGATAAAATATGTGCTCTATTTTATCCATTTTTTAATTTTTTTTATTGGATAGTTACACCACATTAGCATTGCTGATATGGAGTAAACGTTACACCTAACATTTATGAGTAAATATTAGATGATCATGTTGACATGATATCGTTCAATAATAAGACAACACGTAGGCAAGTAAATCCCATATAATTAAATAAATATCTATTTATGTCATGGAGTAACTATCACATTTGAGATTTACTTATCCACATGTTATTTTATTATGGAAAATTCTATTTGGATATATAAACTTCAAATGTATACTTGATAATCACAATCATTAAATAGGAAGTGAGTTTTAATAAATATTAGGATCCATAATAAAATTAATGGTTGTCATTATCAAGTACATTTTAAGTTTATTTTTTAAGTTTATGTAACATACTCATTTATTATTAGATGGTTACACTCAATATTTTCTCTGAAATCGATATACCCTTTAGTATACTTTCACTTAATGTCAGTCAAAATGAAATATAACTTTTGCGAATTAAAGTAGAATTTGGTAAATATTAGTGGGTCACATTAACATATATTTTTTAGTCATTTATCGTTAGATGAAACCTTGAGATTGTGAATAGGAATAATATCTCTTCCTTTTTTTTTTTAAACCCTCATTTGCCAAGTCAAGTCAATGCCTTGTTAAATGTTTAAGCCAACAGTGCAACTTCCCTGCAACTTCATTGGCAGCACCAAGAAATTGAACCAATGAGCGGAGATTATTACAAAGTTGTTTCATTGCAAAGTCCACGCTATATACGAAACTAATATTCAATCATTAATGTTATGGTGACTAAATTTTAAGATTAAATTTGAAGTGCAAATAACATTACAACTGATTTAGACTTCTTTATTATTGATATTCTATTCTCACACTACGTGAAGAAGTAAGAGCAATGCTATTAGAACATAATTGAAGGGCATATTTTGAGGACATAATGAGTTATCATCAATGATATGATAATAAATTCATTAATATTACAATGAGATTCATCATTAAGTGCATTTTATTATTATTTTATTGGTGATAACTCATTATGTCCCTAAAATTATGTCCTTCAATTATGTCTCAATAGCATCCCTCTCTCTCACACACTCATGCACATAAAACCCGGATATATATCTATTTTGCACGATAAATAAGCTACTCTCAACATCATCCTTCATCTTTTTCGAAAAAAAAATAAAATTCATCCTTCATCATTTATAACCCCAATCTGTCTCTCCCTAGCTCTCTCTCTCACACACACGCCCTAGCCCTAGACTTCTCTCTCTTGCACCCTAAACTTCTTTATCTTGCACTCTAAATTTCTGTCTGCCGCACTCTGAACATCTCTCTCACCCACCCAAACCCCCCCCCCCCCCCCCCCCCNCTCTCTCTCTTCCGCAAACAAAAGCAGAAATGTACAGAGTTGCAAGTGCATCAGAGTACTTGGTGATCACCGGGGTAGGCATCCCGGACATAAAAATAGCCAAGAAAGCATGGATTCTTCCCGGCCAATCCTGCACAGTCTTCGACCTCTCACCTGTAAATTACACCTTTGAAGTCCAAGCCATGAGTGCCGAAAAGCTTCCTTTTGTTCTCCCGGCGGTTTACCATCGGCCCTCGGATTGATGATGAAACCAGCCTCCTCAAATACGCCAAGCTCATCTCTCCCCACGACAAACTCTCTCACCATGTCAAAGAGCTTGTCCAAGGTATTGCTAAAATCTGGATCCGAAACCAACTCCAAAGCTTTTAATCACAAGGTCAAAATGAACACCTACCAGGAAAAAAAAAGGTCAAAATGCGTAAAGTCGTCTTAGTTTTTTTTTTTTCTCAAGCCAATCTGGAAATATTTTCTTTCCTCTCATGAGTTTCCTACGTTCCCCCGCAAGTCATCTTCTTTTATTTTAGTATTTTTTTTGGTAGAGTTACAAGAAATTTGTTTTTTAGCCGCAAAAATTATTGAAGCTGAATGCATAAAAATTGTCACTATATACTTTAGTAACAATATTTTTATAGTCTGTTATTGCCACTAGGCCACGGCAATATGTGTGTGGCTAAATCATTTAACTATGACATTTAATTGTTGCCACTAAATGTAAGGTTTTTAGCCGCAGCATAAAAAATGTCATTAAATGTAAAATTTTTAGTCGCCATAATTATTGTAACAAGTAAACTAAATTTTACCACTAAAATATAATATATCACCACTAAAAGTCCGATTAAAACTTGACTTTTAGTGACAACAATTAATTGCGGCTAAAAGTACACATTTTACTCACAATTAAAATCACCGCTAAACTTTGAAACATGATTTTTTGACAAATTATTGTCATTACTAATTAATACATTAAAATAAACAAAAAAACCTATCCCATATTTGAAAGAATTTTTTTTTCAATATTTTCAAATTTCACATACCTGTTATAGTTTAATGAATCAATATATATACCTAATGAAAAAAAAACAACATAATAAACTCTTACTTTCAAAGATATAATTCTCAAATCAAATCACGTGAAAATAATATTCTGATAATAACATCGTTAAATTGTATGTGTACAACACGTCATCATCAAAGAATAAGAATGAACAAAAAAAGTAATTGCATAACAATCAAGTCTCAAGTACACAATCGTTTTTTGGCAAATTGTTAGATTTTTTGTCTTTAGTCTTTGGAGGCGAGCCTTCCAAAACTATTTTTAGAGCTTCCATTAGTTTGTACCTAACATAAATTATCCAACATTAATAGAAATTCATTGAAGAAAATCAAGACTACATAACAGGCTATTCCACTTACAGAGGCAGAGACCCTATGAGATTGCCACTTGGTACCCATAATCTAAGAGGAGACATTGAATAAAAAGAGGAGACATGGTACCTATAATCTAAGTGCTGCTTCCAAGCTCCCATGAAATCTAGCCTCTAAGGAATGAAGCTGTTTGGTAGAAATTGTGCTGCAGATNTATAATCTAAGCGCTGCTTCCAAGCTCCCATGAAATCTAGCCTCTAAGGAATGAAGCTGATTGGTAGAAATTGTGCTGCAGATTCTCCTACTGTCTGTAATGCTATCACACTAGGCATTATAGCTAATTAGGTAGAATATATGTCATCAGCAAAATTCCTGCAACAAGGAGTACCCACAAGTAGCTTAAGCAGTAGGTGAACACAGTAATTTCATATTATTTTATCCCACTCCAGGTCTTAGACATGTGAAAAAGAGTTCATTCTATGTCCAATTCAATTGGAATAACAGGGCACATCAAGATTCCAACATATATGTACATATGAGTGAGTGAGTGTGTGTACATACATTTGTGTCTAAACCATTTTCATCAATGCACATTGACCGAGCCATCTAGAGCTTAAACAATACACACCCACACCCACACTTGGACTGAATATCATATTGCAAGATGAATAATAAATTTCCAGGTTTGCTGCATCCTCCTGCTTCTCAAACAAAATTTCCCACTAACTGCTTAGAGAAGATTCACTTGCAAATCTGTCGTCTAATCAAAGTATTTTTGCAGTAAACAGAATGTCCAAAGCATATGGTCTGGAAGCAATGTATGATATGTTTTTATCTCCATTCCCCAAAAGTTAAAAGTCCTAAACAACAACAAAGTTTCAGTGTGCATACCTTGAAGTCCACAGATCCGAAATAACCAATATTACAAAATTTTTGACTGCAATCAAATAACTTTGTAGCTACAAAATAACTATGTGAGATTGGGAATCTCGTGGATAAAAAGATTATCAATTCACTGAAAACTTGAAAATTCATAATAAAATAATAGATGTGAGACTGTCATCATCCCTATTAAACTGAAACCAATCCAGTAGATCAAAGCCTTCATTGCCCCATAGAAGAAAGATGTCCAAATCACAAACCCTAGGTCAAACTAAAACGCCAAAATTAACAAAATTCGACAAATCAAACAAGATCTTCACTAAAATTAATGAAGTGGACGGGCTTTATTAATCAAATAAATGAGTATTATATAAATTCTAGAAAATTTACCTCACAGTTCTAGAAAATTTCCCATTATGCACAGAATAATAGGAACTTCGATAGATCCAAACATGAGTAAATCCAACTGAGATTAATTAAAGCAAACATATAGGATATCCAACGGACGAAATCCAGTCAAAACATAGCAAGAATACTCTATTTGACAAAATGGAACAAAAATAAACTAACCTAAGTAGTGAGAACGATGATGGCACTTTAATCTTCTTCTCGGCGATTTTCGAAATGAGCTCAGCCTTCTCAAAAACTAGGGTGGTGGTGGCGATGGAGGTGTCTTCGAGGAAGTCTTCAAACCAGTGGGAATCGTGACGGTGAAGGAGTTGAGAGATCGAGATCGATCGATCGATCGAGCAAGCGAGAGAGAGAGAAAGGGGAAAGATTTAACGTCCGAAGAAGTGACATGGTGGGGGTGAATGTGAAACGATGTTGTGTTCGTTAAAATTGTTAAGTTATTTATAAACATTGGTAATCCATAAATTTGTGCCCAGCAAGACGCGACGTTTTTCTATTAAACGCCAAAATTTATACTAAAATTGATATTTAGTGGCCAAAAACAAAATGCAGCTTAAAACAGGGCATATTTGCTGCAACTAAAAAATTTTTTTACTAAAAATTTATATTATTAGTGACTAAATTTAAATTATTGTCATTAAATATTTAGAATTAGTGATGAATTAGTAATATATTTTTGTTGCAACATCTAAATTGCCACTAATTAGATTCACTAACATATCTTCAGTGACAAAAATATTTTTCACCACTAATTATATATCTTTAGTGGTGACAAATTATTGTGGTCATTAAATAATTTTAATATCATACCTTCAGTGGCGATAATAAGTTTTTGCCGCTAAATATATTTATTCAGTGGCAATATTTGTTACTGCAACTTAAATCTAGCGGCTAAAAGTGATTTTTCTTGTAGTGNGTCCACAGATCCGAAATAACCAATATTACAAAATTTTTGACTGCAATCAAATAACTTTGTAGCTACAAAATAACTATGTGAGATTGGGAATCTCGTGGATAAAAAGATTATCAATTCACTGAAAACTTGAAAATTCATAATAAAATAATAGATGTGAGACTGTCATCATCCCTATTAAACTGAAACCAATCCAGTAGATCAAAGCCTTCATTGCCCCATACAAGAAAGATGTCCAAATCACAAACCCTAGGTCAAACTAAAACGCCAAAATTAACAAAATTCGACAAATCAAACAAGATCTTCACTAAAATTAATGAAGTGGACGGGCTTTATTAATCAAATAAATGAGTATTATATAAATTCTAGAAAATTTACCTCACAGTTCTAGAAAATTTCCCATTATGCACAGAATAATAGGAACTTCGATAGATCCAAACATGAGTAAATCCAACTGAGATTAATTAAAGCAAACATATAGGATATCCAACGGACGAAATCCAGTCAAAACATAGCAAGAATACTCTATTTGACAAAATGGAACAAAAATAAACTAACCTAAGTAGTGAGAACGATGATGGCACTTTAATCTTCTTCTCGGCGATTTTTGAAATGAGCTCAACCTTCTCAACAACTAGGGTGGTGCTGGCGATGGAGGTGTCTTCGAGGAAGTCTTCAAACCAGTGGGAATCATGACAGTGAAGGAATTGAGAGATCGAGGTCGATCGATCGATCGAGAGAGAGAGAGAAAGGGGAAAGATTTAACGTTCGAAGAAGTGACATGGTGGGGGTGGGGGTGAATGTGAAACGATGTTGTGTTCGTTAAAATTGTTAAGTTATCTATAAACATTGGTAATCCATAAATTTGTGCCCAGCAAGAGGCGACGTTTTTCTATTAAACGCCAAAATTTATACTAAAATTGATATTTAGTGGCCAAAAACAAAATGCAGCTTAAAACAGGGCATATTTGCTGCAACTAAAAAATTTTTTTACTAAAAATTTATATTATTAGTGACTAAATTTAAATTATTGTCATTAAATATTTAGAATTAGTGATGAATTAGTAATATATTTTTGTTGCAACATCTAAATTGCCACTAATTAGATTCACTAACATATCTTCAGTGACAAAAATATTTTTCACCACTAATTATATATCTTTAGTGGTGACAAATTATTGTGGTCATTAAATAATTTTAATATCATACCTTCAGTGGCGATAATAAGTTTTTGCCGCTAAATATATTTATTCAGTGGCAATATTTGTTACTGCAACTTAAATCTAGCGGCTAAAAGTGATTTTTCTTGTAGTGCTAGTAGCTTAGTAGCTTTTAATTTTTTTTATTTTTTTTATGAACACATAATGGATACATGTATATTTTTTACACTAATATTATTGAGACATAATGAGTTGTCACCAATAAAATGATAGTAAAATATATTTTGATGGTGTAAATCAACGTGGTGCAACTTTGTGATATTGAACAGATGAGATGAGCAGTGTATCACTATTAGGATCTGAGCTGCAAGGCTCAAAAGAACAGGGACTAGTATCGAGGGAATTGGGGGATTGACACAATGAACATATAGTGGTTCATCAGCTCGGGAGTTCGACTAATCCACTCTTTAATGGAGGCTCTTGCTCCTCTTTTTCTTTATATATCATTCAAAAGATTTACAAGACCAATTCTATGTTATTCGGGGTCTCCCCTTCTCTTGGGGCGTTACATAATATTTATAGAGCTGTTCCTAGTTCTGCGAGATCTGTACCGAGATCCTTGGCATTTATCCGAGGATCTCTCCTTGATATTAGGAGAGAATCTTGGCTGGTTAAGAATTTTGTGTCTTGAATATGACTCTTTGACACCTATAAGATTTTTGTTGTCATCTAGTTATTCCCTTATCATCTCCGCTGTTGTCGCGTTTAGTGGGGAGCTTTAGCTCTGATCTTCTGAGCTCTGTGTGTCTTCCCTAACCTCTTGGTCTGACCTCCGCTCCTGAACTCATACTTAGAAATTATTCTGGGTATCATCAGTTGTCACCTAGCCCCTAGCCCAAGTGAACTTAGATAGGGGCTAAGCTGAAGCTTAATTAAGGCAGACCTCTAGACGCGGACCTTGATTTACTTGCGAATAGGTTTTTGACGGTTTCAGGTAATCATTTTACTTCCTAGTTTCTCGTGCGCGTTGCCCACTTTGAAGCCTCCAGTTTTGTTAGCTTTAAAAACCCTTGGACCAACGACACCCTCATTACTCTTCAAATTCTCTTTGGCTTTCCCTCTCTCCTTTACGACTTCATCTTCCCCAATCTACTACTATTCTTAGGGCTTTTGCATAGAGACGATTTCCTCTAATTTGACCCAAAG